TGATCAGTCTTATTGTGGCAGACTCATTGCTGCCAGGTGGGAATGGAGGCCAGCCCACCACTGGACTCTGCTCTTACGACCCTGTAGGGGGAACTGAAGTAGTGCCTATTTCCAATGGATGGGGAATGAAACCTCAGCTCCCCACTCAGCCCCACTGATAGTACCCTGGCAGGGAAATCAGGGAGTAATTCACTTCCACTGAGCAGGGGATGGAAGATTCACCCCCATTTGTCCCTGCTGACACTACCTGGTGGAGGAATCAGATCACCACCTGCTACAACCAGGCAGGAGAAGGAAGATGGCTCCCTTCTCTGGTCTGCCGACATTGCTGGGTGGGCAGATTAGAGCGCTGCCCCCTGCTTATGCAGGATGGGAAGGCAGAGTGGAAGATCGACTCCCTGCCTGGCTCTGCTGCAACACAGAGGATGGGTGTGAGGTTTTTCTGTTGGTGTTTGACTGGAGCAGGGCAGGCATTGTCCAAAGGGTTTCCATTGTTAGGCCACCATTTTCTTGGTCCTTTGGCTAGGAAAAAAAGGCTTTTCTTGGAGTTGTTTTTTTTTTTTTTTTTTTATTTCTTTGCCTGTTGGTGGTTCCAGATCGAAAGCTTCTCAAGTTCCCTGTCTGGGTATATAGGAGGCAATTAGAAAACCCAAGGGACATTCTGTCATGTTGTTCCTCAATTTCTGAGGTCCTCCGGTGGTCTTCCTTCTTCTTTCCACCTTTCAGAGTCTCTTATGCTTGTTTTTTGGGTAATGTCCAGGGTTTTTTAGTTGTAAGATCTTGGAGCGATGCTTCTACTCTACCTCTGCTGGAATGAGAAGTGATCTTTAGCTCCTAAGGACATTTTCATTGAATATAGATTCTAAGCTGACAGTTTTTTCATTTATTTTTGTGTACACTTTTATTTATTTATACTGAGGTGTGATTAATATAAAAAATGCTGTGCATATTTAATGTATACATCTTGATGAGTTTGAAGATAAGTATACACTCATAAACAAAGCCATACATTTAACTATTACCTTGAAAAATATCCTCCCTCCCTCCCTGATTTTTGTGTGTGACAAGAACATTTAATGTAAGATCTACTATCTTAACAAATTTTTAAGCACACAATACAGTTCTGTTAACTATATGCACCATGCTGTGCAGTAGATCTCAGGACTTATCCATCTTCCATAACTAGAACCATGTATCTATGCATCTATGTAACTATGTATCTATAACTATGTATGTTGACAAACATTTCCCCAATTCCCCCTCCTCCCAGCCCCTGCGAACCACCATTCTACTCTCTGTTTCTAACAGTTCAGTTGTTTTAGATTCAACATGTAAGCGAGATCGTACAATATTTACCCTTCTCTTCTGGCTTATATATATGTATATATATCCGATATATATACAAATATGCATAATATATATGATACATATACCAACATGAAAATCAATCATTATTTATTACAGTATTAGTTTAGGATAATTGCATGGGACACCACTTCAGGAGGAATTAGCAGCTTCCAGCTTAAAGAACCCATCCCTGCCCCAATATCCAATTTATAAAAATAAATATTAAAATGTAGAAATACTCTTGTGGGCAGCTTGTCAAAGGACAACTCTAGAAAACACATGAATTTCATGAAAGATACCAAGCGTGCCTGTCCTAGAAAAAAGTTGATGAACACATTTCTTGGCTCTGCTATAGATAACAATGGTCTCTCCGACACTCAACACAAATTGAGCATGTTTTCACAACTTGTTATACCAAATGTTGAAGCCATTTAGGTTTTCAGAGTTCAAATTGATAGTGGCCACAGGTCCTTGAGACTTCAAACTCTGCCCTTGCTGCAGCATGCTGACCATCCTCTGGTACGCTGTCTCTTGAGCTGACTTGCTGCTGCTGTTGCTGCCAGCTCTAACGCTCTGTGCACCGCTGTTCACCATTCTCCAGCTTTCAGTTCTTTAAAACCTCGTGACAGGCCAGTTCTCCCGTTCCTCATACTCAGTGGCTGGTGATCACACACTAGTGGGCCCTTCACTGATCTGCTGCGTCACGATGGTGTGCTTCTCCTGTCTTCAATACTGTGCGCTGGGTCTGAAATCCGGCTCCCTCAGGTTTATGATCTCTACTGTGGCCCTGGGGAATAGAGACCTGGCCTTTGAGGAATCCCACCCTCCTGCAGTGGTGGCTCTCCATACCAACTACAGTGGAAAGAACTTCCAATTTTAAGATGTAAACTCTCCCCAATTTGATCTATACAGTCAAAGCAACCCAGTCAAAATCTTAGCATGATTTTTTTGTAGATATTGACAAGTTGATTCTAAAACATACATGGAAGGCAAAGGAACTTGGATAATCTAAACAATTTTGAAAAAGAATAACCAAATTATGGCACTCACACTATTCAACTTCCAGCTTGAGATACAAGATAGACCACTTTTTGTTGGTGGATGTGATTGATTCCGTTCTGCGTTGCACTAAATCTAAGGTTGTTTTGCTTCCAAAGCTGAGATAGTTTGTCCTTAAGTCTAAATAAAACACAATGTGAGAAACTCCATGAAGCCCTAGATTCCTTACTGATCAAACATTCCACTGGCATCGGAGTTGAGCCTATTGAGATTCAGACTGATCTGTTTAAATTAAACCTTTTTCCAAATTTTCATAATACCTTCTAAAACCAGAAGCCAACGGAGGTTTAAAAGGTCAAAGAAGGTCAGCACTTGAAGGGGTCAGAGAGCTCGCTAGGTGTTGCGGGGCCGCCGACGGGAAGCAACAGGAATCACCCGCGCATGGGAACGCCATCTTGGATCGATGCGAGCACAAGACGAAGGACAAAACCCTGAACTGACCAAGAATTAAAACACACCAGAACTGAGTTTATCAACTGAATTGTCACAGCTCTTTACTAAGAAAAAACCTGGAACGGACTTAATTAAAAGTTTGTCTACCCAGCTGAAATGGGAACTCGAAAGCTAAATTCTGTTACTATAGGAAAATAAATTTCCATTTCTATACACCTGTTTTGTGGAATAATTAAGAAATATCTTACACACGTGAGTTATCGGGAACTCTTATAACAGTACCGCAAGGAAGAAAGTGTTCCTATTTTAGAGATGAGGAAATCGAGGGTCTGAATAACGAAGGCAGGTGGTACATGGCAAATTCAGGTCAATGTGACACTGTACTCTGTTCCTTCCTACCTAAAGTCCCCTCTCTCCCAAACCAAATGAGAAGTCGCTGCTGTTACAAATCCAAGCAGCATTTCCCTTCCACAGCATCCTTTCACTGCAAAAGTGATGTTTTCCAAACGTCGACTTTCAGTTTACCCTCTACAAAGAAAGGTAGCAGGTTGGGGCAACGACACAGTATTTCAGTTTCTATTTTTCCATGATTTTAGTTAATCTCTTTTAAATATTCAAAGTCTGCTATCCATGAATTTAAAACACAACTTGGGAAGCTCTTTAGAAAGAATCATGAGACATTAATTCCAGGAAACATCAAACAGCACACATGGTGAATTACTTTTACGGAACGTGGCACATTAAACACTCCTACTTGCTAGACAAAATGTCAAAATTTAATAATTTTACCTATAGCTTTAAGATTTTTCTTGTTCTCATTATTTCTTTTGGTGTCCCTCTTGCATATCTAAAACTTTTATTTCCCTTTCAATTAGGCATGAAAATCTTTTCCTTCTCCATGTGATCTCTAGTTTTGTGGCACTACTAGATTGAAATGATTTTGGACTTCACGTATAAAACTTTGAAAGAATACCAAAGCTTTATAGACATGATACTGCCAATTCTATTGTCTCTGCTTCTGGCTCTGACAATTCTTAAGCGTATAATTCCTGACTTCCAGAGGTGTTTTTACTTCCTTGTTTGTAATATCTCTTCCTTCCTTCCTTCCTTCCTTCCTTCCCCTTCCTCCCTTCCTCCTCCCCTCCCCCAACCCCTTCTCCTCCTTCATCTATCTGATGCCTACTATTGGCAGACTTTATTTCAGAATATCCTTGATTTGAAGCTTCTTCTAAGGAAATTTCCTAAGCCTCTGCTCTTAAACTATTCTGAGAGGGAAGCCACACCTTTCAGTCCAAATCCTGCTTTATCTCTTGCCTTGCTTCCCTACATTTACAACATTTATCTTACTCAAATTTCACATGTGCTTCCTAAGCTTGAGTCCATTTGCACATGGACAAATAAATACTTCTCATATGTTTATTTTTTCATCTGTGGTTTCAAACCAAACCTGATTAAATATACCTTGTGATTATTAATCTTACAAATATTTTCCTCCTGAATCCTTTATTTTGATTTATGGCTTTATCAACCATGCAGCTTTCCAAGTTTCAAAACTTCCTCACTTCTGTCACTAAATTACTTGAATTAAGATTGTAATTGTGTCCCTTCTCTTTACCCTCATGGGCCATGATGAGATGTTTACCGTCATTTGCTTGAACACCATTCTTGATTAATGGCTTGCCAGCCGTCTCAGATATAGGAGTAGATCTATTCTCTGCTCTACTATGTTCCCCTTAAAAGAATTTGATAGTATTACTTCCTTTCTTATAATTTATCTTGGCTCAATAATGCCTAGCTAACTCCTTAATGTGCAATAAATATCTTCATTATTGGACTTTTACCTTTCACTCTAAATTTATATCCTCCTACTGTTCCCATCACAAACTATGTTTCACCTCTCAAATTTCACCTCACAAGTGAAATGTCCCATGCAATCAAGAGTAAGGTTATTTGTCTCAAATCCTTTTTTATGTAATCTCTTTTATCCCTCTGTAATATCATTTAATGTTTGATTATAATTTACTTGTTTTTATATCTCTCTATGATACTAGACTGGGTGTTCCTAGAAATCTGCAACCATGTTTCTCATATTTGTATGCTCAACGTCCAGCATATCACTTGAAACATAGTAGACCCTTTACGTGTATTAATGAAAATATTTGTTAGTTAACATTTTATTGACTAAAAATAAATTTTAATTATCAAATCTTCACAATTTTTTTTACTGTGCTCTTAAAAGCTTGCTTCACCTGCTGATTCCTTAGGGTGTAAATAAAGGGGTTCAACAAGGGGCTAACTGAAGTCATGAGCAGAGATATTTCCTTGTCGAAGTTACCTCCTTTCTTTGGTGATGGGTTAATGTATAAAAAGATGCAGCTTCCATAAGAGAAGGTGATGACAATCAGGTGGGAGGAACAAGTGGCAAATGCCTTTGTCCTTTGCTGGGCAGAAGGGATCCTCAGAATGGTCCTGACGATGTATATATAAGAAAGTGTCACCAGCACCAGAGTAACCACCAGCGTCAAAACAGCTAAGAAGATGACTATTAATTCTAAGAGGCTTGTGTCTGAGCAGGCAAGTTCTAAGAGGGGTCTATAGTCACAGTAATATTGATTCAACACATTGGAGGCACAGAAATCTATCTGGCTCATCAGGATGAATGGGGGTAAGATGGCCAGGACTCCCCCTAACCAGGAGCAGAACACAAGTTGTATGCAGACTCTGCTGCTCATCATGGTCAGGTAATGCAGGGGTTTGCAGATGGCCACGTAGCGGTCATAGGACATAGAAGCCAAGAGGTAAAATTCTGTTCCCCCAAGAAATATAGCAAAAAAATACTGGGTCATGCATCCAGCAAAGCTGATGGCTTTATTTCCTGTTGTCAAGCTCATCAGAAATCTGGGAATAAAAATGGACGTGAAGGAAATTTCTAAGAAGGAGAAATTCCGAAGGAAGAAATACATGGGGGTCTTGAGGTGGGGGTCTACCAGAGTGAGAATGATGATGGTCAGATTTCCTAGGACACTTAGCAGGTAGGCAAGGAACAGAAAGATGAATATCACCGCCTGGAGTTCAGGTTGATCTGTGAGGCCCTGCAAGATAAACTCAGCAAATGTGGTCCAGTTTTTCATTGTTGACTTTCAGTAGATCTAAAGGGAAAAGGGAAGTTCACTGATGAAAACTGAAGTTTCCCAGGGTAGGAGAAATGAAGTTACCTGCAACCAACAGAATCGGGTTATATTATTACCCTTCATCCAACTGGCCCAAACCAGTGTCCCGCTGGACTAGGCTTGGATCTTTGGAAGCCCCAGGACTCCTGTACAAGTGGCCCTATTCGTAAAGCCTTTGTCATTTCTCATCAAGTTGACCAATTCCTGGATTCTTATCAAAAATATGTCACACAAGAAGCACTGTCTATACCTGTACTTTCTTACGAAATATTTAAATTTCCTACATTTAAATCTTTTTTTTTTTTTTGAGGAATATTAGCCCTGAGCTAACATCCACCACCAACCCTCCTCCTTTTTGCTGAGGAAGATTGACCCTGAGCTAACATCTGTGCCCATTTTCCTCTATTTTATGTGTAGGACACCTGCCATAGCATGACTTGATAAGCGAACTATAGGTCCATGCCCAGGATCCAAATCGGTGAACCCCAGGCTGCCGAAGCAGAGCACGTGAACCTAACCACTACACCACCAGGCCAACCCCTTAAATCATTTTTATATGACTTCACTCATCTGTTTTACTTCTATGTCTTGGCAGAAATGCTTGTCTGTCCCACTTTCTCTTCTTCCTGTGTTCCCTTCGTATACGAGTATCTGATGCTTCACTGCAGATCTGGACCTGACCCTCATTTCCTTCACCGTCCAGCTCCCTGGAGTCCTCTGTAAGCAACCTGTGGGAATTCTCCCAATACAGGCGATGCTATAGACCCCAAATCCAAAGTTTATTTTTTGCTGTATCTTCACATTTTTCAGCGTGAGTGTCTGTTTGGGCTTTAGGATTCTGAGACTTGTTTCAGGACTCCGTCATTTTATACTTTAAGTCTTTTCCCACATGGTCAGGCTTCAGCCATCACTAAATGATATTAACGAGCATTAAGCCCTATGCTTCTCTGCCATATTCAGAGTATTCTGGGCACTGATTTGTCATCCCACTGGGAAGAGTGATATTGTGGCAGCCACAGGACACATGTCTCACAAAGGATTTTGCTCAAAGTTTTGAAGACTCCTGAATGGTATCTAAGAGGTTAGTTATAACCTCAAACCTGTGTTTCCACTATGCTTAGAACATAGAGACCAGAAAATTGACACCAGTATATTGATTACAGTTGTCCTTTGCAGATATATTGGTGGTCCACAAGGAAGGAAATTTTTGATATTAACATATCTTTGCCACCTTTAGCCTTATCTGATTATGAAAATTCCTGTGGTAAAGGACATTTTAAGGGATCCTCTAATCCACATGCACAGGAAGTTAGAACAATCATATACTTTCAGGTGTCATTGATAATTTTCTCATGACAGCCATACATGAATTTTGAGGGACCAGGCAAGGTGAAAATTGATCCATTTTCTCAGGGTCTGTCACTTCCCTGGTTGTTCTCACCTGTGATTTTTAACAGTAGTTTTGCATTTTCTTCCAGAACTTCACAGTGGTATAATTTCATGGTCCATGTCCACAGAATGATAACATCAGTGATTTTGGAAACTGGAGACATAAAGCGCTCATATTCTTCACAATCTGAATGACTGCAATGGTCTGTTTAATTGGCTGTTTTTAAAAGATGAATCCAAGGTGAGACGTCACATGCAAGTCTACAAAGAGTAAAAAGATTAGCATATTTTCTATGTACTATCTGACCACATCTGCCATGCTCTTTCATGGAAGTACCCAACCTTATCAGGCTTAACTAAATAAGAAATTACTTATTTCTCTATTAATCCAAATCATTCAGACTAGAATTAAATCTTAGTTCTTGAGAGAGAGAGAGTTCTACTTAAGACGAGCAAAACAGCACACCAAAGAATTTAAAAAGTAGCAGAGATAGAATTAAAAGAGAGGATTTATCAGACTGAACATCTTGTAAGTTTTCTGATCTATGATAAATTATATCGCTGTCCTGAGAAGCCAGGATATGGACTTCTTTGCAGCTTCTGTGTTAGCAAGAACGACCCATGACGCAGACCTTATCTGCTCCTTTTAGAGCAGGCACGTGGGGATCAATTTCCTGAAGAAGCTAAAGGTGCCCTGTGGACTCTAGTTCGGAAGATGCTAATGAACATGAATTCCGACAAATCTGTGAGCAAGTTGTGAGTACACGTCTGAGGGAAGAAGGTCCAGAGAGACCTTGTTGAAAGTGCAATGAGAGAATCGGCTACAGCCTAAGAGTCTGAGAGAGAGGTGAGAGCCCTAGATGACACCTCCAAGCATGGTTAGAACAATGATCACTTGGTCATCACTGAAATATGCTGCTGCATTGGTGACAGAATTGGAGGGTCATCAAAGAGCCCCAATTTCTGAAAATATTTCATAAATTATTTTTGAAAAATCAACACAATTAAGAGTCCTTTCATTTGTAGGAGGGTGGATAGCCCAACAAAGTAATTGCAAATTCATCAGAAATCAAACCATCTCTCAAATTATGATTAAAGCATTAATCCACCACCCACCTCATAATATAAACATATATTATCTAATTTTCTGTCCATCCCTTTCTTCTTGCTCATCACCTGATATTACAAGAATAAAGAACAAGGATCTTACTCAAAAAGGGAGAAAACATGTGGTTAAAAACTTTGTTTTGGATACAGATTTGTGTTCTCAGTAGATAAAAGATAAAAAGTCAACAGCAATACTAACATCAAGAACATTAACAGAAAGACCAAGGAGAATAGCAGGAATAACTAATCCTTACTTACTGCTTTCTGCTTTTTTGAAGCAGGAGCTGAGCCTGTTACACACATTAACTTACTTAATCATCACAGAAATCTTCTGAGCCTGGTCTTACTTTGATCAGCACTTACATATGAGAACATTTCAACAGACTAAATTGCTTACATTTATAATTTTCACTTAAGTATGGATCCTTAAACAATATAGTTTAGTGTTGCCTGTTTTTGAACTTTATAAAAATGGAATTACAATGTATGTATTCTTCCCTGGCTTGCTTCTTTTGTTCAATTTTACGTGTAATATTTATCTGTGTTGTTGCTCGTAGCTGTGATGCATTCATTTTCATTATAGTATTCAATTGTATGCATTTACCACAATTTATTCATTCATTCAGTTGGTAGGATTTTTTTTCATTTGGGGGAAATTATGAAAAGTACAGCTATACCGACACATGTCTGAAATTTTCTCTATGAAAATATATCCAAGAGTGGAATTTGTGGGTTACTGGGTATGTATAACTTCAACGTCACTAGTAATGCCAAACTGATTTCACAGTAGTTATTATTTGCAGTATTACCACCTCTGGTGTATCCACTTGCTCTCTGCCCCATATCCTCCTTACTCGGTACTTCAGATTGGCAATATTTACCTATCTGATTCTTGGGAAGTGGAACTCATGTGATATTAATTTGCTTTTCTGCGATTACTAGTATAGGTGAAGAATTTTCTTTACCTATATTGACTATTTATATTTCTCTTTTTTTTTTGGCGAGGGAAGATTGGCCTCACCAATGAGTTAATGTCCGTTGGCAACTTTCCTCTTTTTTTTGTTTTTCTCCCCTAAGTCCCAGTACATAGCTGCATATCCTAGTGGTAAGTCATTCTAGTTCTTCCATGCGGGATGCAGCCACAGCATAACTTGATGAGTGGTGTGTAGGTCCATGCCCAGGATCCGAACCAGCAAACCCTGGGCCACTGAAGCAGAGGGTGCAAAGTTAACCACTTGGCCATGGGCCTGGCCCCTGTATTTCTCTTTTTTGAAGTTCCTGTTCCAGTCTCCCGCTCACTTCTTTTTCATTGGGTTATCTGTCTTTTTCTTATTGGATGCATGGAGTTCTTTATATATTCTGAAAGTAGTTACTTTTTGGGTTATATGAGTTGCAAATACCTTCTACTTTTCGCTCTGTTTATGGCGTTCTTTTGACAAATAGATTCTTAATTTTAAAGCAGCCAAATCTATCAATAGTTTGTTGTATCTAATTTAAGAAATTTTCCCTACCCCAAAGCCATGAAAATATTGCATTATCTTCTTAAAAATTAATTTTTTGTGTTTTAGGCAAAATTAATTTCCAGTTTCACTTTCCCCCATATAAACACCAAATATTCCCAGCGCCGTTTGTTTGTAAGACTGCCCATTTTCCATTATAGTGATAACTTTATCATAAACCAAGGGCCCACATACACAAGTCAGTTTCTAGGTTCAATTGTCTTCCACTGGTCTATTTGTGCGTTCCTGAACCAATACTATACTGACTTAATTAACATAGTTTTAGAACAACTATTGACCTCTGGTAGAGTAATTCCCCTCATTTTGTTATCCTTCTTTTAGAATATGTCATTATTTTTGGTCCTCTGTAACTCATCAGAAATTTTCCTCATCAACTTTTACAGAAAAATCTATTGGAATTTTTATTGAGATTGCATTGACTCTATAGCAAACTTGTGAAAATTGATATCTTTAAGACATTCCGTTTTCTAGCACAGAAATGTGGTGCACCTTGCCATGTATTTGTATCTTTAAAACATCTCCAAATAAAATTTTATATTTTTCTCCAAGAATTCTTGAATATATTTATTCATAACTACCTGATTTTTATTTTTTATTTTTTGGGGAGGAAGATTGGCCCTGAGCTAACACCTGTTACCATTCTTCCTCTTTTTGCTTGAGGAAGATTGTCACTGGGCTAACATCTGTGCCCATCCTCCTCTATTTTGCAGGTGAGTCAACATCACAGCATGGCTTGAGGAATGGTGTAGGTCCATGTCCAGGATCCGAACCCATGAACCCAGGCCCCTGAAGAGGAGCACACTGAACTTAATCACTGTGCCACTGGGCCAGCCCCCATAACTACTTGATTTTTAAATGGTGTCTTTTTCTCAGTTTCATATTCGACTGCTTTGCTTTTGGCGTATAGATATGCAATTGATTTTTTTTTTAAAGATTTTATTTTTTTCCTTTTCCCCC